TGCGGCCCAAACCCACGTGGTTTTTGGGCTGCATCATTAGAAGCATTAGGTGCAAGACAAGGGAAGTGATAGTGTCTCTCTGCTCAGCACTGGTCAGGCCTCATCTGGTACTGTTTGCAGTTCTGGGCAAAACATTTTAAAAGGACATGGAGAAGTTAGAGAGGGTTCAGAGGCAGGCAACAAAGATGATTAAGAGCTTGGAAGGCAAGTCATATGAAGAGAGGCTGAAGGGGCTGGGCATGTTCAGCTTGCAAAAAAGGCACTTAAGTGGGGACATAGCAGCAGTCTTCAAATACTAAAAGGGTTGCCATAAAGAAGAGGGAAAACACCTTTTTTGTCTTCCTGTGAAGAGGAGGATGCAGAACGATAGCTTGAAGTTGCTGTGAAGTAAGTTTAGATTGGAAATCAGGGAAAACTTCACTCTCAGAATAGTGAGGGAGTGGAATAGATACCAGGGGTGTTGCTGACGCTCCATCACTGGAGGTGTTCAAGGAGAGGTTGGACAGCCACTGGTTGGGGATGATCTAGGCATTACGATATCTATATTCCACTACAGGGATTTCTCAGGCTTCTGGGCTGCACTGTTTGCCTCTGCCACCCCTTCCTGCTATATGTGCCAGGGTGGGGGTTTAGCCTTCCTCAGAGGCGGTGGGTGTTTGCTGCAGCCAAGACTGGGGAATGATTGGACTGTGCCAGTGCTCCTGTTGGGAGCAAAGCTGGAGGTTGCTGGCTAGAGGGTCTTGCCCCTCCTCTCAGGGTCCGACCAATGCCATTTTGGGGGCCAGGAAGGAATTTCCCCCCATTGTCAGATTGGTACAGACTGGGGGGGTTTCACCTTCCTCTGTAGCAGGAAATGTGGCCCTCTAGAGCATATTCCATAGAGGCAGGACACTGGCTGCTGTGCTCCCATACTCTACCTGTGGCAGGTTAGGGTGTTAGGTCTGTGCTGTGTCAGGGTCGGTGGTAGTCTCATATAGAGTTTAGATGATGGTTTGTATGCTATGGTTTGGATAGGGCTGATCCAGGTCCCTCCCAGCCCCATGTCTCTAGGATTCTATGATCTTCATTCAAAATACTGAAAGAACTGCTATGCAAAATGTCAAATCCAGTAAGAAGGATTTTCAGCGCATTTATCGAATCAGGGTTACCGCAGAGCTGGGGAATAGCAAAATTAACAGCAGTATTTAAGAAAGTTAAAGAAACTAATTCAATATCTTCCTTTGGTAAGATCATAGATTTTTTAGACAGGAAATTCAGTAGCTCCAATTTGTTTGGACTTGAGTGAAGCACTTGATATGGTGATCTGTGGGCAATTATTAAGTAAGATGAAGAAGGTGGAGATTACTACAATAGGCTACAAGAAATACCATAAGAATTAGCTCAAGTGGGGAGGCAAGAACAGGTTGTACTAAAAGGGGAACCGTCAGCTGCAGGTGGGTGATGAGGGAAGATCTCCAAGGATTGGTCTTAGAAACACTCTTGCTCCTTAGTGACCTGGGCACTAAAATTATGAGTGTATGAATGAACTGTGGATGACACAAAGTGGGAGGCATCACTGATGCAGAGGAGGAACAGACTATCAAATACGACCTTGAGGACTGGGATGACAGAAAGGTGAGGAAATATAAGAGGATGAAGTGCAAGGTGATGCTTTTAGGGACTAAGAACAATAATTTCTGTTACAAGCTGCAAAGTCCTGAGTGTATTAACAAATCAGGGGGTGACAAAGAGCCATGGATGTGATGTGACCATGAAAACATAGTCCCAGGCTGCATCTGACAAGGTACTTCAAATTGAGATAGGAAAATACTAATCTAATACCCTCCTACAAAGTGTTATTGAGACCTCATCTGGCATAGTATGCTACCCAGTTCAAAGAGGATGAATTCAAACTAGAACATGTGCAGAGAAGGGCTACTAGGATGGTCAAAGGAATGGAGAGTCTGTCTTAGACAAGGAAACCAAAAGAGCTTAGGTGGCTTAGCCTAGCAAAATGAGAGGGAATAGGATTGTTCTCAGCAGAGAGAAAGAAGAGCTCTTTAAGCTGAAAGACTATGTTGGCACGTGAACAAATGGATATAGACTGGCCATGAATAAATGAAGGTTGGAATGAGAAAATGGTTTCTAACCACTGGGGGAGTGAAGTCTGGAAGAGCTTCTCAACAGCCTAATGAGGTCAGAAAACCCGATTTGACAGAACCCGATCTGTTTATGAAGGACATTCTAGGATGCAGTGCCTGTGAAAGCAGCGGCTGGACTTAGTGACCCATGATGGCCCTTCCCTTCCTGTATTATGTGCTCCTAATTGCATTCCTGGCCTTTTATTCTTTAGCAGCTGTATCCCCCACCAGCTTTTCCATTACTTTATCTGGGACTGGTGGCAGGCTGACATTGCTACATAGGCAAGCCCCCACCTGTCCTGTTTGAATACTGACACAATATTTGCCCTCCGTCTTCAGGAATATCCTTGCAACTCCAAGATTTGTTAAAAATCAGCACATCAGAATTCTCCCTGGCCAGGTTTTACAACTCCTGACTGCTTGCTGATTTAGAAATGTTTCTCCCCGCCTAGATGTTGTTGTCCTGATCAGTTGCTAATGGTTTGAAAAGTATTCCATCACTTTCATTCAATCCCAGCAACCTGCCCCGCTGCTTTCAAATAGAGAACAGAAATATGTATTGACCACTTCTACCTCTGCCCTGTTATCTCACTAACAATATTACTGTCTCCAGCTGTGATGATTTAGGGAACTATGGATTCTGCTTTATATAATGAGAGCAGCAGAGGTATATTTTGGGACTGAGGACAGAGTGCCCTATTCAGCCCTGGGCCCAAAAGGAAACGGTGCTGGATAGAAATGCTCCAGAAGCTGGACAGTTATCTATGGGCAGGAGAGAGGGGTGCAGGACTTAGAGAATTTGTCCTGGGGCCAAAAGCCCCTCCTGAGTGGGAAGGAGACAGAAACAGGGCACGGCAGTAAGGTGTGTTTGTTTTCCCAGTACAGATCTCTGGTTCCTGTGCTGTCCAAGCAGCGAGCACCGTGGTCTGGCGCCCTGTGCAAAGTCTGTGTAGCCAGAGCATCCATGTGGGTGTAGGCCTGGGAATCGTGTGCTGAAGCTGTGGAGGAGTTGGGGGGATGGCACGGGTCACGGGGCCTGTCAGGGCTGCGGGCTGGGCCTCTGCAGGGGTCACAGCTCCAGCCTGGGCCGGGACGAGTCTGCAGATGGGGCCTGCACCGGTGAACCCATCCAACGGCACGTCCAGAACAGGGTGCCCGACTCAGTCGTAGCAGGCAGCCACTGGGAGGGTAGCCATGCATGCTGCCACCCTGGCCCTGCCACCACACTTCCACACCCCGTGGGGTGCCCTGAGGCCAGACCTCAGCGTGGCCCTGATCCCATCTACCCCATGGACCCACCCCGAGGAGCGCGGGCCGCGGTCCCTTTAACTCCCGCCCCAGCCTCGCCCTCCGCGGCCGGCTTTTTTTTTTTTTTTTTTATGAATGAATGCCGTCCCCCAGCGCTCATGCAAATGAGGCCGCGGCCATTGGCTGCCGCGCCGAGGAGAGCCCATTCGGTGCCGGGTCGCAGGGGGCGGGGAGGGGGCGGGCTCAGAACGCGCCGCCGGGCCGCCGGGGACCAATCATGCGGGGGCGGCGCCGCAGCGGCCGCCTGCCATTGGGTGGACGGCAGGGTAAACAAGCTGTGATGGACAGCCGGCGGCCCAGCGGCGGACCAATGGCGAGGCAGCAGGGGGCGGGCTCTGGGGCCGCGGGGGGCGG